CCCTAGCAGAACTGCTAAACTTGAAGTATAGAGAAATAAACCTATGTAGATGTGCCAGAAAAAAAGGATTTGAGTTATAAAATGAAAAAAAATTTTGACTACAGACTTCCTCAATAATAATAAGTAACAGAAAAAAGTGGAACATTGTCTACATAAAGAATATTGAAGAGAGGGAGCCAGCTGTGGCTCATACCTGTAATCTCAAGCACTTGGGGAAGCTGAGACAGGAAGGTCACTTGAGGCCAGTTCAAGATCAGCCTGGGCAACAGAGTGAGAGCACGTCTCTACAAAAAATTAGCCAGGCATGGTGGTGCATGCCTGTAGTACCAGCAGAGGTAGGAGGATTGCTTGAGCCCAGAAACTCGAGGCTGTAGTGAGCTATGATTGTACCACTGTACTCCAGTTGGGCAACAGAGTGAAACCTTGTCTTCACAGAGTGAAACAAATAATAAAATAAATAATTTTAAAAATCGAGTATTGAGAAGGGAATGGATTTTAGCTGAAGTGAGCATTTGAATATGTGTAAACATTTCAAGTATGACTAAGTGATTAGGGGTATAAAGTTTAGGAAACAAAAAGTTTTTATTCTTGAAAGAAAAGCTACTGCATATAAAAAGGATATAATTAGTTAAAAAATTATCAAAAATTATAATCAACTGGGAAAAGCTCAAGGAAATTCCAGCCAAAGCCATAGGTTTCAGTGTAGGGTTGTATAACATAGGAACAATCCATGTTTATTTAACACATTAACTGCTATGTGAGTTGTATTTAACTCTCACTAGTTTTTATCCTGGAGCCCTGTGAAGCATATATAACTCACATGTCTATTTACCTTGAGCTGCATGAACTGTTTTTTAAGTTACATATACTCATGTACAGAAAACAATAAAAAATAACAAATTTCTCATTATATTAGAAAGGATCATTTTGTTTCTGAAGTTTTTATTCTATTTTTCTAATAAGACACTGTAGCCCCAAGGAAATTTTTTTTTCCTAGTGTGGCAGTATGTTAAAGATGACAAATGAAGAAATAGGTTTAAATATTAAGTTATATAGGTAGCTCCTAGTAAAACTAAATTAGAGGCCGGGCGCTGTGGCTCACGCCTGTAATCCTAGCTCTTGGGAGGCCGAGGCGGGCGGATTGCTCAAGGTCAGGAGTTCAAAACCAGCCTGAGCAAGAGCGAGACCCCGTCTCTACTATAAACAGAAAGAAATTAATTGGCCAACTGATATATATATATATAAAAAAATAAAATTAGCCGGGCATAGTGGCGCATGCCTGTAGTCCCAGCTACTCGGGAGGCTGAGGCAGAAGGATCACTCGAGCCCAGGAGTTTGAGGTTGCTGTCAGCTAGGCTGACGCCACGGCACTCAAACTCTAGCCTGGACAACAAAGTGAGACTCTGTCTCAAAAAAAAAAAAAAAACTAAATTAGATTTCAATATCTTCCAAGTAACCATTTTGAGGTCAGGGGTGGACAGAACTTATAATAAGTAGAAATAAACATTTTAAAATGTTACTTCTCTTGTACATAAAACTTAACTATGATAAAGGAAAAGGCTTCTAGGCTTACTATGCCCAAGAATATGAGTAGATTCTTATTCTCAGCTTCCTACTCTGTTTACTCGGTAGTATTTGTAAGTTCTTTGGTGGATTCTAGAACAGATCAAAAAGCTATAAACTCCAAGCAGGGCACTGTTTTATCTGCCTGCAGTCCTAGCTGTTCAGGAGGCTGAGGTGGGAGGATTGCTTGAGCCCAGAAGTTCAAGGTAGTAGTGTGCTGTAATCACACCTGTGAATAGCCACTGTACTCCAGCCTGGGTAAATTAGTGAGACACTGTCTATTAAAAAAATGGCTATAAACTTCAATATATGCCATCTTTTAAAAATACACTGAAAGCAAAGGAATTCAGATCGATAAAACCTTAACATATGTAAGAATAAACTTACTGAAAAATTTGCAGGACCTGCATAGTGAAAAGAAGTTGTAAAACTATTGAGAAGTAAGATAGGGTTTTGAATTAAATAAATGTTAATTCTTCAATCAATATTCTCTTGCTATATTTGTAATGAAAGTTCCAACAGGATTTTTTTTAACTTTAACAAAATGATTATACCTTAACTTGAAAAAATAAATATGGGAGAATAGCCAAGAAAATTCTATAAAAGCATAATGATAAAGGGACCCTTAAAAAATCTTGAAAATTTTTCAAAAACTATAAGAGCAGGAAAATTAATGGAATAGAATGGAGAGTCTAGGAATAAACTTTTCTGAATGTTGAAAATTTGGTATATGGCAAAAAGATCCCTGGGGAGAGTTAGTCTTTAAGAAGAAATTGGATGTTTATAATAAAATGCCTCTAGACACGAAGGCTGCCACAATAATAAAATAGTTCGCATTGAGGTTTACATTCTAGCAGAGAAAACAAAAAAAGTAGTGATTACAGAGTTAGCAATGTGGTAAGTGCTGTGAAGAATACAAAGTTCCAGTCGAATGCAAGTCAAGGAAAACTTAATTGGGGGGTGAGGAGCTGTCCAAAAAGGCTTATTTGAGGAAGTAAGGTTTAAGCTGAAACTTAAAGGTGGGAAAAAGTGTTTCAGACAGATGGAACACCCTTCAGTAAATGGTTAGCTATTTGGATTGAAAGGAAACAGAATGCCAGATTTACTTGTTACTATGCAAAAATAAATTCCAAGTGAATCAACAATATTAATAAAAACAGATTTAAAGGAAAGATCTGAATAATCATTAATGAATGTTTATAAAAACTGTTTGGGTATAGAGGTCTTTTAAAGCTTGGTATGAAATATAGAAATCACAGTGGGGTGCATGATAAATTTGCCAACATAAAAGTTAAAAGTGGTAATAAAGCATTACTAAACAGGTTGAAAGGCAAGTTAGAGACGGGAAAGAGAGTTACTTTTCCTGTTTATATACTGAACTCTTATAATAGGGAATAAGATTTCCACAGAAAAGTATGTTCATTCTCACTAATAAACAAAGAGAGACAAGTCTAGATATTTTTTCCCCATGAGATGGGCCAAAATTTTAAACTAGGTTTGTTTGTATGTGGAACATCCAAATGTCCTTCAGTGTAACCTACAATGGAATATTATGCAAAACTGAAAAATAATGTAAGATGTTTATTGTCAAAGATGTCTGTTCTTTTAAATACTGTGTAGTGAAGAAAGATTATAAATCTGGAGTATGATGTTCTTTATATGAAATTATAGGCACATGTCTTTGTGGCTGTATTTGCATAGAATCCTGTCTAGAATATTAACTAAAGTATGAGGAAACATTAGTTACATGTAATCAAATTTTGGATGACAGAAGTTTGTCCATTTTTGTGATCATGAATATTTTTTATAAAATAGTTAATTTTGATTGATAATTTATTTTGTTGAAGTATCCCATGATCAAAGCACTTATAAAAAGATATTTAGTAGTCTTAGGACGGTGATATGACTTGTTATCACTTGAATGATTTTTTCCTGTGGTAAGTGGTACATCTGAATGTCCACTTATGGTAATATGGTAAGTGCTTTGCCACAAAGCCTGAACAAGACCTTCATTAAAAATATTGGAACTCTCTGCCAAAAAAAAAAAAAAACCAGCTAAAAATATTTGGAATTTTCTTCTAAGTTTTAATTATTTTTTAAATTGAGAATCTCCTGTTTGTATGTAAAGAGCATGGTAGTTAATGAAACCTAGGTTTTACAAGCTAAAAATTAATTGACCAGATTCTGCATTAATATTTTTGCTGGTTATATTGATTCACAGATTGAAAGTTTTTTTTCTTCTGTTGCTTTCCCCTTTAGAATATTAAGATAATTCAGGAGGTCAGGGACCATGTCTTATCTGAATTAATGGGAAACACGGTGCTAGGTATTTATCATTATCTTTAGTAAAGAAGTTTGCAGTTTAGTTAAAACTCTAGGCTGGGCCCGGTGGCTCATGCCTATGATCCTACCACTCTCGGAGGCCAAGGCTGGAGGATTGCTCAAGGTCAGGAGTTGGAAACCAGCCTGAGCCAAGAGCGAGACCCCGACTCTACTAAAAATAGAAAAAAATTAGCTGGACAACTAAAAATACATAGAAAAAATTAGTCGGGCATGGTGGCTTATGCCTGTAGTCCCAGCTATTCGGGAGGCTGAGGCAGAAAGATTGCTTGAGCCCTGGAGTTTGAGGTTCCTGTGAGCTAGGCTGATGCCATGGCACTCTAGCCTGGTCAACAGTGTGAGACTCTGTCTCAAAAAACAAAACAAAACAAAAAAACTCTAGATAGTACTTGGCATGCTATACTTTTGATATCTTAGATATTGAATTACTTCTGTATGTTTAAGTACATAATTTATGAAAAGCCAATATATAGACAATTTATTTCATATAAAAATATTTTAAGGTTAACCTTTTTGTTTCTTCCTTTTTCCCTTTTCTCAGTAAATTAAAAAATATTTCAAAAGACTATTTAGAAAACAAGTCTATTATATAGGATGAAATATGTAACAATTTCATTTTTGTGGGGGAGTTAGGTATGATTTGTAAATGCTACATTAAAACTAATATATTTAAACTGGTTTAACTACAGTTATTAATAAAATGAATTTATTGTATAAAATTCAACCTAGCTATTTAAAATTGATTAACTCTTCATAGGTTCCACTAGCAATAGTACAACTTTCATCCTTAAGTTTTAGTTGTAGTAATAGCTTAATTTCCCAGTGCTCTTATTTTAAAACAAAGTTAAAAGAAAAAGAGCAAGAAAAACCCAGTCTACTTTCACACACACACACACACACACACACACACACACACTTACACTTCTATTAGCTACAATTTGTGGCCATACAACTCTCATTTCCTCTGAGTAAAAGGGTTATGATCTTGCTTTATTTTAATTCAGTTACTTGCTTTTCCCTATAGAAAATCAGGTTTTTGGAGAGCTCTAACAGTGTGCTATTGCTGGGCTCTCATCCTTTCTGTTTAAATAATGCAGGTACTTTGATGGAAACCTGGAGAAGCTCTTTGCTGAGTGTCATGTAATTAATCCAAGTAAAAAGTCTCGAACACGCCAGATGAATACAAGGTCATCAGCACAGGATATGCCTTGTCAGATCTGCTACTTGAACTACCCTAACTCGGTGAGTATCTGGTAGTTTAAGGGTAGGACTGACTCTGTATTTCAGAGAGTAAATCAACTTTCATTAAATATCCAAAACAATTATAAAATGTCTTTAATACTATTTACTAGGAAACTTTCAGGATTCTTCAAAAGAAAAGATTTTCACTTATACAAATTCATTCTCATGCAGATTCTTAAATATGGCAAGTAGGGACAGAGTTGGAATAAAACCAATAATAATAGGAATAGAACTGAAAAATTGGTGTTAATTTGTTAAGTTTATGTATCCCTCTTAAACATTTATTGTACTGAGATGATTTAGAGTGTTTAGTAAAGAACTTTTAGGTTTAAATAAACATAATCTTCCTATAAAGGTCTTACTTTATTAATCACCATAAGAAAATTGTATTTGTGGCATTTAAGGTGTTAACTTGAAATTTAGCTCTAAGATGTTTCAAGATATATAAGGAATAACTTAATTCTATGATGATTATAACTATGTTCATATTGTCTGCTTTAATAGTTAAGTACCTCTTTCTAATAATTGCTATATAAAGGTCTTTGCCACCAGTAATTTATTTATTTATTAATTTGTTTGTTGGTTTATTAAGAGATGGGGTCTCACTGTGTCGCCCAGGCTGGAGTGCAGTGGCTATTCACAGGTGCGATCATATGTACTGCAGCCTGGAACTCCTGGGCTCAAGCGATCCTCCCACCTTAGCCTCCCAAACAGCTGGGACTACAGGCGTGCACCACTGTGCCTGGCTAGTATTATATTTATATTGAAGCTTTTTCATTCTTTATCTTAATTTCATATGTGTGTCTCTTTGAAGGGAGCTAATAAGTTCACATGAATAAGTAATTAGAAAGGAAGTTTTAAAAGAAAAGGAAGTGCTGTTAGAGAAATGGAATGATCAATGAGTTAAATAAATTTAGTAGGGTAAAGTGCTGGACTGAATTTCCAGATTCTCAAGTTCTGATCATAGCTCTAACACTAAATATTTGGCTCTGGGTTTTGGGTTTTCATCTCACTGGGTTTGGGTTTCTTTATCCTTCAAATGAGTAAAGGTACTCTTTCAAATCTCTTCTAGCCTGTGAATTGTTACCATTTCCCTCTCCTTAAATCACAATCCTAACTGGAGTATTTAAAAAAAAAAAAATCAGTACTACTATTAAAAAACATTAAATTTGGGTTTTGACCATTTTATTATCTTTAACAGATTCTCTTTGCCAGTTGACATACTAAGACCTAAATAATTTGTCTCAGGTTATACAAGGTTTGCTTATTCCTTGGCATTTTTCCTCCTACTCTATTATAGCCAGCTCCTCCTTAATTTAAATCTCCACTCTACTTTGAGTACTGAAGCTGGCTGCCCAGCTTTGTGCAGTGGCAGTATCATAGCCATGAGGTTTATCTGAGGTACACTTACTGTTAATTGAAAGCTTTTCCCAGTACCCTCCATGATGACTTGCAGTATAGTCAGCAATGGCAATTTTTGACAGTCTTTACAGAGACTGAATTTTTAAAAAAATAATGAAGCTAGGTGCTTACAAAGATGCACTGTAACTTTCTCAGTGCCCTTGGTGTTGTCTAACAGTATCAACAAATTTGAATTGAAAATCATGACTAGAGAGTTAGAGTGTAGACATTTGCTTTATAAATAATGATAGCGAACCTATTGTTCATTGAACACACCAGGCATGACTTTCCAGGTTAGTTGGGCAGATAAGTAAAGTAACATATTCAGAAAGAATGGTAAGTGCTTTGAGAGGACAAACATAAGATAGGATACTGTGGGAACAAGTTGGAGGGACACCTAACTCAAGTTATTGATCAGGCAGGACTTCCCACGAAAACTAACTTCTGAACTAACCTCTGAAGCAATGGTAGTTTGGTAAACAAGAAAAATGTAGCATGAAAGCCAAAGGAAGAGAATGTACTTTGAAGAATTCTGGAATGGTGAATGATGCTAAAATCTTTAGTGAAAAGAATTGGAAAGTGAATTTGGAAGAAAATTATATTAACTAGTGTGGTGGGATTGGAAACCAAACTGAGCTGAAGAGTCTCATTGACTTGAAGGTGAAAAGGAAATAAAAGCAATAATGTAAATAAATTACTATTTTAAAAGAAATTTGGCTATGTAAGTGACAGGACAAGAAAGCAAAAAATAACAACATAGGTTGGTAAGTAAACTAAAGAGTTATGGCAGCCCTGCTAAGCATTATGAAAAATATAATCATGATGAAATTAGGACTTCTTTTTGCATAATCTTTAGACTGATACAGGATAAATCTATCCTCTTCAGTTTTAGAAGTAAACATCACCTGAAATTCTTCATGAAGCTTTGTTTTATTTATTAGATGAGTGATTTCTTTACTTATACTGTATAACTCCTATGTTTCACTTTCACTACTCTCTTCAAACATTTATACTTTTGTTTACATATATCTTCAATCCATTTATCCTCCTAGAAAGCAATTTTTGGTTTATACAGTGACACACAAAAACAAGTTTTTAAATAAATGCTTTTGATAGCTTTAGTTTATATCACTTTGGAGTTAACTATCCTAGGTGGTCTCTCTTTAAAACAATTTCTATGTTATGGCTAATTCAGAGGGTTAGGTTTTTTTTAACCCTGGCAGCAGTTACTCACTTTATATTAGTGTTCCAGATCAAGATAACTTAAGATGTAGCTTTACTACTATCTTCCTCACTGCTAGGATGTAGCTTGGGGGCTACAGTATCTCATTTTTAAGAAGAAATTTGTAGATAAGTTAAATAGGTAAAGGCAGAGTTGAAGATTGTGAGAGAGTAGTCCACCCTGCCATCCTTTACCCTGTCTTTTTTAACCCATCCCATTTACACACAAGGGAACTGGTGCCTAGATTTGCTTAGTTTTTTTAATAAACAAAGTGATTTCAACTTTAGAGATTAGATGGACAACTTCTAATAGAAGAAAGGTAATTCTTAATGTTCTTACTACTATTTGATAATAGTTGCTGTGTATATAAGGTGATGGAGATAAATGAAACCTTTAAGAGTTCTTTTAGTTTCTTTAGGACCATTAATTTCTGTTGTAGATAATATTTCATATTTCTTTAATGTATTTCTTAATTGGATTTATTTATGATATAAAAAGGGATAAATTTAGTGAGTAGATAATCACTGAGACAGGAAACCCCAGGGTGAGCAAGTAGGTGAGCACAAGGTAGTAAGGGTACAAACATATCGAAGAAGGAAGAGGGAAAGGAAATAAGACAGACAGGAAGATATCCACAATAATGGTACATTGCTCTCTGATCATAATGAATGTGTATCTTTAAACAACAGATTAGTTTTTGCTTTAACTTTAGACACGCATGTGTGATTTATTTTTCTGATTTATCTTGTTTAATCTTGTTATCTAATTAGAAAAGTTATCTAATTAGAAAAGTTATCTTGTTATCTAATTAGAAACTCCTGACCTCAAGCCATCCGCCCACCTTGGCCTCCCAGAGTGCTAGGATTACAGGCGTGAGGGCCAGGCCTTAGAAGTTTTTAAAAGAAGCCTTTAAAGAATAAGAAGCTTGCTTCTTACCTTTTTATCTTCTCTTATAATGGTCCCTAGATTAGAAGTCACAAAAGTTGGGGACTTAAAAGTGATCACTTAATAACCATGGTGACCCTAATCTCTCAGTCTTAAGGATTTTTATTTGAAAAAAATACAGCACATAAGCATGTGTATATGTTTATAACTTTTTTTTTTTTGAGTCTTACTTTCTTGCCTGGGTTAGAGTGCCATGGCGTCAGCCTAGCTCACAGCAACCTCAAACTCCTGGCTCAAGCAATCCTCCTGCCTCAGCCACCCAAGTAGCTGGGACTACAGGCACGCGCCACCATGCCTGGCTAATTTTTTCTATTTTTAGTTGTTTGGCTAATTTTTTTCTATTGATAGTGGAGACAGAGTCTTGCTCTTGCTCAGGCTAGTGTTTATAACTTTTTAATAAAACATTTTAGAGGCCTTGGTATGGTTACCATATTTGTCTTTTACAGAATACCCCTCATATTGAAAATCAAAGATTCTTATTAGTAATCTGGTAACAAGTTAGTGCCAGATCTCCTTCACTGATGGGGAGAAATCAGAATAAACTCCTTTAAACTTGATAAATATTTTATTTGTTATTGTTTCTGTAAAACTAGTTACAGAACTCTCTGATACATTTCCTTTCATGGCTTTGTCCATGCATTTTTCTATATAATTGATATGCTGTATATAAAATTTCTATCCGAACTAGACATTTGTATCTAATATTGTAAACAACATTAGAAATTTCATAAGCATATTTCAAATAATAGCCACTTGGAAAATGTAATAGAATTTTTAAAAAACCACTTAGAAGAGCCCCCAAAAGAATAAAAAGAGCTAGAAAAACTTCACAAGAAATGTGAAAGATCTATATGAAGAAAATGTTAAATGCTAGGATTAAAGGATGACTTGAGCATTTGAGATAGTATAGTCAGGAAAATATTGGGGTGGGGAAGGGCCAGGTGCAGTGACTCAAGTCTGTAATCCTAGCATGGTGGGAGGCCGAGGTGGGTGGATAGCTTGAGCTCAAGAGTTCGAGACCAGCCTGAGCAAGAGTAAGACCGCATCTCTACTAAAAACAAAAATAGAAAAATTAGTCAGGCACAGTGGCACAAACCTGTAGTCCCAGCTATTCAGGCAGCTGAGGCAGGAGGATCACTTGAGCCCAGGAGTTTGGGGTTGCAGTGAGCTATCATGATGCCACTTTTCTCTAGCTGGGGTGATAGAGTAAGACTCTGCTAAAAAAGAAAAGACAAAAAGGAGGGAAGGAGAAGAAAGAAAAAAAGAATAGGCAGACAGGGAAGAAGACTAGTTCTATCAGATAAAAGAATAGGCAGAGCAGTGCAACAGGATGTTGCCAAATATGCATGAGGAGAATTTACCATTATTATAGAGTATACATTTTAAATAAGGTAGAATATTCAGTACATGGTGTTGGAACAACTTGGTATCCATGAGGGGTAGGAACTTAGATGCCTATCTAACTCCTTTCATCAAATTAATTCAGAAGCCATAAATTAAAGACTGATACATTTCACTATATATAAATAAATAGCTTCTGCATGGCAACAAAATAGGAACATTCAAAATTGAAATTGAAAGAAGATATTTTCCATACTTATAAATGGCCAGTTTCCTAAATGAGTAAAAAGTCTCCCTAAGTCATTAAGAAAAAACCCAATGGAAAGAATGGGCAAAATATCTGAAGAGAGGGCACAGAAAAAGAAATGTACAGCCTTAAGTCTTTTTTTCAAATATTAAAACTTCACGCATAATAAAAGAAATTCAAACCAAAACTAATGTTTATTTTTCACCTATTAGATTGGCAAAGATCAAGGAGTTGGATAATTTACTCTTTGACATGAGTATGAAAACAAAGCACTCTTGTACAGTGTAAATCGCAGTCTCTTAGGGGGGAAGCATGGTAGTATTTATCAAATTGTATATGTATACCTGTTATAATGTCATTTCTACAAATTTGTTCTAAGATAAATTCAGACGATCACAAAGATGTGTATATAGTCAATGTAGTAGTCTAGTGGTGACAAAAAGGCAGTCTAAATGTCCATTAATAGTGGACTTTTTAAGTAAAATTGTGGCTTCTTGTCTAAAAGCTGTACCAAAAAAAAAAATAAATAAATAAAATAAATAAAATTGTGGTACCTTCATAAAGACTTTAAAAAGAGACAAACCCATGTGTACCAATATGGCACCACATCAGAAATCTATTAAATTTTGTAAAACAAAAACAAGACACAGAAGAGAGCATATGGTACTGCTACTGTGTGTGTACATGTTGTATGTTAGAACCTAAGAAATTGGAAATAGCGATTGCCTCAGCATAGAGAAAACAAAAGACAGGGATGTGAATGAGGGAGACATATTTTTTTATCATAAACTCATACTATTAAAAATTGTTTTTAACTATGAGCCTATATGACTTATTTAATTAAAAATACTTTAGTAATACATATTATAAAATGTTCTTTAAGATAACCATATTTGAGTATTTTAAAAAATATAATCTTCTAGGTCCTCTAATATTTAAAGTAGTTGCTGGATATCACATTATAGAACATAGTATGCTTTATGTAACCATTCCTTGAATTAATAGCATTTCAAATTGTGTAAATAATCAAGATTAGAGCAAAATATTACTGTTAATCTTAGCCATTGTTATTAAATCTTTGTCTTAAGATTTTATTTATTTTCTAGGATAGCTACATTACATGCAGTTTTATGAAGTGCTATATTTGCATGACATTTTTAATAAGTTTATTGAGCTATAATTCACATACTGCCTATTTAAAGTGTTTTTTAATGTATTCACAGAGTTGTGCATCCAGTTAATTTTAGAACATTTTTGTAACCCCCAAAAGACACTCCATACCCTTTTATATTTGCCACTCCCCCCTTCCCCCAATTCCTCCCAACTCCCCCTAGCCGTAGGCAACCACTCATCTGTTTTGTTTTTCTTTGGATTTGCCCATTCCGGACCTTTCATGTAAATGGAATCAAACAATATTCAATCTTTTGTGACTGGCTTCTTTCACTTAGCATAATGTTTTGAAAGTTCATCCATGTTGTAGCATGTATCAGTATCAGTATTTTATTCCTTTTTATGATTGATTAATATTCCATTATATGGAATTTCCACATGTTATTTATCCATCCATTAGTTAATAGGCATTTTGGCTATTATGAATAATGCTCTTATGAACACTTGTGTACAATTTTTTATAAGGATATATATTTTCTTTTGAGTATATACCTAGGAGTAACACTGCTGAGTCATATGGTAACTTTTGTTTAATATTTTGAGAAACTGCCTGATGTTTTTCAAAATTGTTGTATCATTTTATATTCCCATCAACAGTATATGAAGGTTCCAGTTTTTCTATATCCTAGCCAACACTTGTTATCATCTAGCTTTTTGAGTGTAACTGTCCTAGTGAGTGGGAAGTGGTGTCTATTGGTTTGCATTTCCATGATGGCTGATGATATTGAGTGTCTTTTCATATGCTTATTGGCATATGATATATTCTTAATAAAAACTTGTTGCCTACCTGTCCTAACATTTGTAAATATCTACCACAGATGCATTTCTCATTAATTAGAGGTTTTGTGTTCAGTGGATTTGCATGTCTAGGTTTCACCACCAAGAAGTTCATTTTAGGAGCCCATGTATTCCTGTCAAATTGGACATTTTTGAGAATGAAACCTCACAGAGTCTTATAGAGTCACTGTGTATAGTGATTTTTCTGATAATGTCTTTGTTAAAGTTCATGTTTTACTTTCCTTGCAGTATTTCACTGGCCTTGAATGTGGACATAAGTTTTGTATGCAGTGCTGGAGCGAATATTTAACTACCAAAATAATGGAGGAAGGCATGGGGCAGGTAAAGATGCCAATTTGTTTTACAGTTTTTGTTGAATTTACTGTAATGTTTCGACCCTTGTGCGACTAAAATTATAAAGCTTTCTAGATTACGAATCATATGGAGAATATTTCTCTAAATTAAAACAACTAAAAGATAACAAGCTTTTTTCTCTTTATAATGTGGCATTCGAATTAAAGTTTTCTCAGTAAGCATCAATATTGGTATATATCACGTAGACTTGTTGAACAATTTTGTTAGATACCTTGCTTTGTCATTCAAGTTTGTATTCAAAAACCAGTTACTCTGGTCAGCAATTCTAGTTACTTTATAGTGATAAACACACTCAACGTACTTTCTTTAAATAGAAGGGAAAGGATTGAGATTCTATAAACACTAAGGTATTTCTGGAATCTAGCAAAGTGCTTGGTGATGGTAAGCATTCATTAAATATTTGTTGAATGAAGGCAGTTTAAATTTCAATCTTTTTCAGACTATTTCGTGTCCTGCTCATGGTTGTGATATTTTAGTGGACGACAACACAGTTATGTAAGTATTTTCAATAGAGTATGCATGTTGACTATTGGTTAGTTGATTAAACCAAATTAACTTTCACTCAGTTCCTCAAAGGAGGTAAAACTTGTCATAGTCTAAAGAGACTTAGAGACTTTCTAATTCCTTTGTTTTAGCCCACTTATAACTTGGTTAAATGCCTAGTCACCGTTCTTGTAAACTTGGCAAAACATGATAGCTAGGTTTTGATAAACCTTGGAATTGGAGAATAGGAGAATATGTTAGTGTATCAGTTGAAGGGCTGAATGATCCACAAACAAATTGTTTAGTACTAGTTAATTGCCTATATAGAAAAGTATGTCTGTATTTAAGACCTGGGATTTGAAGGTAATAAAAGTAAAAGCAATCATGGACTTTAATGAGTAAATATCTTAACCTAAATAATAAAACCATAAATTGACTTGTCCAGGGCAGTTTATAAGTTCACCGATTCCACTTTCTTACCCTCAGTCTGCTTTGATTTATTTGGAACATATTTATTATTGTTATCTGCTCTGTGTTAATCTTGGTTCTATTTTTCAGTGAATCTTGTTTCAATTTATTGTTTTAGGCTAGCAAAAATAACCCATGTATCATCTCAAAGTACAATTCTTCCAATTATCTTTCTCCTGTTCCCTGATGCTCTCTGATTCCTTGTACATTCTTTCATCAATACATCAGTTTCATCAGTACAGATTCATCAATACATTTCATCAATATAGATCACTATATCCTTTCATCCATTCCACAGACATTTACCAGGAGCCTCCTTACTAGCACATATGCACAGGGTAGCAAAAAATTAAATTGCAATATTCCTTCTCTCCCCCAAAAGGTTCACAATATTAAATAACAACAATATAAGAGTTTAAGTTTAGTGTATAAAGGTATGTGTGTGTGTATATGTATGTATATGTGTGCATGTGTGTGTGTGTGTGTATATATATATATATATATAGTTAGAAAGAAGCAAATTATTCCATCTGAAGAGTTTAGAGAGACTTTACCAAGGGAATAGTGTACAAGGAGTAAAAAGTGATGTTCAGAGTGTGAAGAGTAATACTAGTTAAATAAAGAATGTCAGTATTTTTTAAATATGTCCAGAACTTCTCTAGTAAGTATTTTGTGGTGGCTAGAACACAGACCAGGAAGTTATTAGAGAGAAGAATGAAGAGTGTTTGACAGTTTATAATGTTTTGTCATAGAAGTTTTTAAGACTGTGATAATGAGATTTTCATTTTAGAAATATGGCTTTGGCGGTATAGTAGAAGATGGTTTAGAGTGGGGAGGCATTTGGGCATTGAGACTTAGTTAGAAGGCTGTTGTAGTCTGTATTAAAGATGTTAGTGGGGCAGTTGGGATTCAAATGGGGAGCCAGTAGAAACAATAGAATTTAGAGACAGATTGGTTGTGGAATATGAAAAAACTGCAGCATGAATCTACAGTTTTTCATTCAATCCATTAGATAGAAACTAGTAACCTTCAGGTTTGGAATTCCATAACAGTGAAGTAATGGGAGAGGAAGCCATCACTCTTAGAAAGAATATAGAATGAGAAAAGAAAAACTGACATCTTAGAGACTAATAGTTAAGGGGAAATTAAAAGAAGAGGAGGAGTTGTTGAAAGATACTTAGGTGATGCTTTAAGAAAATAATATTATAGGAACCAAGAGATTAGAAAATGTCAGCGAGAGGCTGGGTGTGGTGGCTGACGCCTGTAATCCTAGCACTCTGAGAGGCCAAGATGGGCAGATCGTTTGAGTTTAGGAGTTTAAGACCAGCCTGAGCAAGAATGAGACCCCGTCTCTACTAAAAAATCGAAAGAAATTGGCTGGACAACTTAAACTATATAGAAAAAATTAGCTGGGCATGGTGGTGCATGCCTGTATTCCCAGCTATTTGGGAGGCTGAGGCAGGAGGATCGCCTGAGCCCAGGAGTTGGAAGTTGCTGTGAGCTATGATGACGCCATGGCACTCTAGCCCAGGCAACACAGTGAGACTCTGTCTCAAAAATAGAAGTCACTAATGATGTCACTTCCTGCAAAGATGTAAAAGAACATTGAAAAGACACCATTGGATTTTCCCATTATAAAAGCAATTGTACTAGAAAGGTGAAAGTAGAAAAAAGATTGTGATGAGTTCAGATGTCAATGGAAAATGGAGAACAGTATGGTAGTTTAGGGCAAGTTCTTGATTATACCTTCAATAGATTGCATATTGACTTATGTCATCTTAGATGCTTAGAACATCTTTCTAAATCACAGAAAGTGATTGGTGTTGAGCTCGTGGTTTAACAGCTTCTACAAATTATTCAGGTGTTCTTTGGACATTGTCCTGACAGTGTGGCAAACATTAATTTTTTCAGCTGTACACAATGAAGCCATAAGTTTCCTGGAAGTACTTCAGGAGCTCTGCTGGGGGACTCACTCTTTCCTCTGTTTCAATCTTATATAAGACGGATATGAAAATCTATTCTATAGGTTTCTGGGTAAAGTTTTATTTTGAGGAAAACTAGATGGGAAAGGGACAAAATATTTGCAACACAAATTAATTTCCTTGATATCATAGGGCTTTTACAAATCAGGAAGAAGATAATCCTATATATAGGACATGAACATGCAGTTCATAGTGAAAAATTTAAATGGTCATAAATATAAGTTGTCAGGCCTAGTTAAATAAATATAAATCAAAATTAGATACCCCCAAAAAGTTTTTATTGGTAAAGAAAATTTGGTAATGTCTAATGTGAGTGAGTCTAATGTGAGTGAGACTATAGTACAATGGGGAGTATAAACTGTTGCAAGCTTTTTGGAATGCAATTTGGTGATCTATAAAAATTTATATGCTCTTTGGCCTTTCCTCCAATGGTTCAGCATCTTGGATATTCATAGTGCTAACATCTAAGTCACTGTCTTTTCTCTTTTCCAAGGCTTGTTGTCATTCAAAGTAATTTCAACGCCCACGTATATAGTCCAAAGTATAATCCCAAGGCCAACAGCCTAAGCATCACCTAGGAACTTGTCAAGAGTGTACATTGTCAGGCACTACCCCAGACTTCCTGAATCAGATATTTTGGAGGTGGAGCCCGGCAGTCTGAACAACAAGCTCTCCTGGTGTGTTTCTGATGTACTTGAGAGCCATTGCTATAACTTTTCATTTCCCTGATCTAATTTCCAGTAAAATCCTCTTTACCCGAGCTTCCCACTCCCATGGCCACCAACCTAGGCCTACTCCAGATCTATTCTAGTTGACTTTGCAAAATCATCTTTTTTTTGCCTGTTCCCAAAATACTGCTCCTTGGGCTTCTATCCAACCCCCTATTTCTTTTCACTTTATACACTTTCCCTAGGCATGCCTCAGAAATCCCCAAGTTCAGATCTCGCTTTTAAGCTTAGGACCTATATTTTCCCACTACCTATCAAACATCTCCGTGTGTCAGTGCTTGTGTTTGTGCATATATATCAGGTTTTATCTTATCCAGTCTTCAACACCACCACCAAACTCGCTCATTCTTCTTGCTTCTCAGTATCAAAGAATGGCACCACTAGGTGTTAAACACTTGCCTGAATTGAAAACCTTGATGACATCTCTGATTCATTTTTCTCCTGCATCTCCCAGAATTACCCTTACACCAAATTCTGTCAGTTCCACATCCTCATTACCCTTAAATTCATCCAGTTTTCTCTATTCTACTGCCATTAACCTGATCCAGGCCGTCATCTTCTCTTATCTGCAAATCTGCAACTGGCTTCTAAGTGATTCCCTTATATCTAGTTTCATCATTTCCCAGTTCTTCACAAATGATTTCCATTGTTCTACATTGCTCACCTTTGCAGCTTCATTTTCTGCTTTGTCTTTTCTCACATTCTCTGTTCTAGCCATGCAGAACTTGGTTTCTTGAAAGTATTGTGCATTCATTTGCATTCAGTTTGGTTTGAGTTTGTTTACTTTTTTCTCTACTGCCTTCTGGCTTTCTCACATAAAACACTTTTGTTTTACTCTCGAATTCTCTTAACCTGTTCATCCTCTTAGTCATTCTCAGTTTAGGTTGTAACTTTGGTTTGAGTAGACATGCCTTGAGCTCCAAAGTTCCCCCCATATTTCTCTTACCATTCATTTTTGTAATTGTGTTTATTCTTATCTGTATTGTTTCTTAAGCTGTATGATACCAGGTACCCTAATTTTTAAATATATTCTTTGAATTCTTTGCTTATTTCCATTGAAGATGTGTGGGCCTAACCTTGGAAATACTACACTGAAAGTATTTATTCACTGACCACTCTGTGATTCTTAGACTTTTAAAGTCTTAATAGGGGTCATTGAATGGATTTACCTTTTTATTCCTTAGCAACTGATATTTAATAGGCATGCATCTTTGAATAAGTAACTGGAAATATATTATTATCCCTTGCCTTCATGAACATTTCATCATCTCAAACTTCAGGGATTGATTGGTGCCATAATACCATCAAGGCTAAGTGGGGCTTCCCTACACAGTGGCCTCATATAGCTATACTTTCAAAGTCATGAAGGTAAGAGTATATACTCTGACAAACTTTGTCACAGATTTGTCCTTGATACTTTCATGAGATGAATGAAAACTATTTCTCTAAATTACGTATCACTTATAACCAAATAAATGTTCGTCTACTTCTGTTCATCCTAGTAGTTGGTTGTTTTTTTTTTAGGGCCTAAATTTCATTTACTATATATAGTTTCTCTAGTAAATCTTAGGGATAATAGAGGTAAACTTATATTTATACAGTCTTTCAAGACCTTCAAGTAGTATATGTAGTTTCATTTTGACTAATCAACGATAGCATTAATACATATTGGGAATTGTGATCTTTTGGTTGAACACCTCCTGTGAGGGGTGCCTAAAAATATTATTTACTTTCAAATATGAGTTTTAGAAACAGTTGATAGCAGGAACTTATTGCCACTCACTTCTAGCAGAATTATGCCCAGTGCTTTTTAAAAAAAGCTTTAACTAATAGG